CCAAACAGAACGAGTAAACAACAGCAAAGAAATAACGTAGCCGAGAAACAGGAAACTGCGTTGATGACAAAAAAACTTTTGTTTCATGTTTGTGGAGTACAGCCATGAATTTTGAAACATTTTACTGAAAGAAAACTCAAGACTATTATATCCTTTCCAATTCACCCCGCCCTCAGTAATTTTTTTTCCTAGAAAGCTCTGCATTTCTTGGAAATAATCGTGGAATTCTGAGAAATCGAATCGCGTCTTCTGATTGGTTCTTTATGTCGAGATAAACTTGCTTACTTAGCACATTTCTCTGCAGTATTAAACTCTTCGGATTCTGGATTCAACCAATGTTTTCAGGTAAGCTGAAATGGTCCTAAGATGTTTCATTCTTTTAGAAATGAATTTAAGCATTTTGTTTTTATATTGGTAAGAATGTWAAGAAGAATATTCTTATTTGTAGCTTTAATTTCCTCGTGTCAATGCATTGCCGGCGGCCGAAAACGTAACTGGTGGCGAACCTAATTCATGTTGGTCGATTAAGTACACTAAACCAGTTGGTTTCCCTATTTGTGATTTGACGTCTTTTTACTGCCAGAAGATCTCAAGGTAAGACAAGGCTCACGTTAAAAACAAGTATTTTAAAGGCTAGGGGAAAACAAAAGAAAACGTCACTTAAGGTAACAAGAAACGCACTGAATCAGCTTAAGATTAATAGTAAGCCAATATAAAAAAAATACCAAACGAAAAACAAAAAAACTAGTAAACTCGATTATGTAAAAAGCAGGCTTTGAGTTAAACGTTTTCTATAATACAGTAGAAATATAATCTTACACCGAAGTTAGTGTTCGCATAAAGAAGTCACGGTGTTAAGATTCTAACACAATCAATATTCATTTTTGAAATGCGTTTTGGGGAAAATCCCTAATCTGATTTTCTGGCCAAGAGCTTACGAAATGAAGGTAAATTACAATAAATTTATTCATTTTTAAATTGATAGCAAAATTTTCCTTCTGAATTTTGATCTGTATTTCTGACTGTATTTTATGTGAACGCGTTTCTGGAATATTTCTTATTTAATGGTCGATGATTGTGTCACGCTGAGAGCTTCTTAGTTTCGCTTTCAGTTTATGGCATCCCAATTCAAGCTCTCGAAAATGACGAGAGTTGTTCATGGGAAAAACTAAAGTAGTGGCAAATATTTTAAGAGATTTATTCCGTCATGTAATCGATGGTGATGACTATATACAAATTCTGCTTATAACGGTGATATGACGACAAATCATGTTGTAACTGGTCATGCTGTCACCACAGGATCGGGTGAACACTGTGCCTCTATTGAGTCGGTGTTTCTGGATCAGAGGTGACATTGGCCACCATAACATTTTTTCCTCAAACGATGCGGAGTTTTACTTCACGTTTTCAGTAAATGTTGTTGATCCGATTCTAGGACTTAAATGTAATGGCAACTGCAGTCACAACAACAGATGAACGCCAACATAACCTAACGACCCAATCAATCCAGGATGCGATACAGGATCTTGTCAACAGTTGTGGGATACATGATCCCGATGGTCAAGTTCCAACTACAAACCGATATTCTGAGCTGCAGCAAGCCTGTGAGGAGCTTCGTGAGAAGTTACCTTTCCATTCAGAAGAAGGAAGACATTTGGTGATTGTAGAACTGACCAAATTTAATGGAAATTATGTAGTGAAGATCGTTCGTAGAGGATTATGCAGCCTAAGTAAGGTGTACTCCAGTGATACCAAAACGTTTGAGAATGAGGCAACAGAACTCGTTAAACTTTGCTGCTTGCAGTATGCTATGCAAACTAGTTCTGAAGGTGGACATCAAGTAGCAAGTCCTGCCATCGTCATAGATTGGACAATTGAGCTATGTGACGAATTAATGAAGCCGTCAAGCGATAGCTTGTTTCACGACGATCAAGATACCAGATCCATCAGTGGTGCATTTTTAGTAAAGTCTTTGGCAAAATTGTCGGAAGTATACAAATCAATTATATCCGGAAGAATGAAAATTTTGGAGGGGTCAGGCCGTGTTGACAAAAAAGCTATGGATCCTTTCAAATCCTTGTTTGACGCCGTCAAACCAAGAATCAAGTTTAAGGGATTTGTAAACCTCATAGAACAAACAGCAGCAATAGTGAAGACGGAGGAAAATCTCAACTTTTTAAATTTAAGCAGCACTGGTGGTCCTAAGATTGCATTAATACTTGAGCTCTGGATATCATTATTGAAGATTCCCTTCGTCACAAATTGGTTAGCTTTTACAACAGCAAAACACGATTTCCTTGTACACGATGGTGGATATGCTCAGAGCTTGCCCTTTAGCGACATAAAAACTTATGGTGAGTCCCTTATTGTTCAAGTTGCTGGAGCCTTCAATTTTCTTACAAGTTCTAACAAACAGTATCAGTTATCTTGTGATAAAACAAAACTTCAAGTTTTTTTCGATAATTCGGAAGCTCTGTTGCGCCACACCATACCTTGTTTACAGCTAATGCAAGCAGACGTAGAAACAAGTGTTCTCAAAGAGATACTCTTCCTACTGCAATTCAAGCTAAACAGAGACTTACTGCCTAGAATCACTGATTCAGACAAGAAGCAATGTCAGCCATTATTGGATGCATTGGACAAAATCATACTATCACCTGATCATTTACATTTACAAGCTATAATGGAGGCAGTGGATGCAAAGCAGGTTTACGAAATGAAAACCTTGAATCAAATCATCAGTAGCAGTCGACCTCACCAAACAGCAAGCTTTAATGCAATTACTCTAGCACTGTTAGCCCTTCCAGAAAAGCAAAAAGTGTTGACGATTCTTCAAATATGGAAGCATACCTTTCCTGATGATATATCTTACCTTATTTTGTCAGAGTTATTTGTGCTTGTTGTAGCAATTATCCAGACAAAGAAAGAGAGCGTATCTAGTGACGTGGAGAAGTTTATCGCCTTTCTAAGGCAACTACCCCCAGATCTTTTCTCGGCCTTGAGAATCTGGCGGCCTTTATTTGAGCATCTTTTGGTTCTGCTACCCCATTCATGTTATGGTCCAGAAGTAGTAAACCTCATCAGAATGTTTGTAGATTTACATTTGAGAAATACACCGACTGGTTGCGGCCAGTACGATAGTGCATTTGCTCAAAAAGTGCTCATATTTCAGAATTTCCTCTTTGGGGAGCCAATGAAACAAGATTCAAAATCCGAGGAAGTAAAGATCAAAGCCCTTCAACTGGCACTAGAGTTATTTGAAGAAGTACCACTTCCAGAAGAATATSRWTTTGTTTTGAATGTGATCCTTTCKGTTGCATCAGACATGSAAAYAAATGCCATCAAGACCTTYACTCGGAGCCTTCTCAAGGCTGCTAGAGTACACATTACAAGGATACAATATCCGGAAATCTGGGAAGTGATTTCATTGATTGATCAGTCCCGTACTATCCGACGTAAGAGTGAAGTTTATAACAGTTACTTAGAAGTTTTGCAAGAAGCTAGAGCTGATGATGATGACATGCCCACAGTCAATATTTGCAGCGATTTTCTAAAGTCGTCTGATTCTATCAATAGCGACAACACAAAGGTATTCTTCGCTCTCGCAGCAAAGGGAAGAATCGCCACCTGCAAATTTGTCTTGGAATGCCTGATTTTTTACCGTCTCATAATTGGTGGAGATCCAGGCAGAGTTAATGATTATGTAGTTTTTCTGCTCACTATCGTAGAAAAAACATTGTCGTCTGACAGAAGGAGTTGCCAGTTGTTCTTCAAAACAATTCATGACTACCTTCAACTTCAATGGCTGGCTTATGACCTCGATACTTTCGAAATGATTGTTGCATTGATAGCTGGTTCTATAGCTATGGGAACATTTGATAGAGATCTGAATGAAGTTGTCCTAGCAGTGCTGTTCAATGCCATCCACTCTCGCAAACTCTATAACCAAACAGTCATTCTCATCACTTACTTTTATTTCACACAAACCTTCCGACGAGTAAGTGTTGAAAAAGGAAAAAGTTATATGAAATTCTTTGCAGAGGGAGTTCGCTTGATTATGAGACTTCCTTTGAATTTACAGCAGACGAAATGGATAATACAGAAAGTAGTTGCCATCCTTGATCAGGAGAATATCACAGATGGAGAAAATGTATGGAGCGTTATGTGTCATCTCTTCAAAATGGGTGATGGATCGTGTATAGCCATTGTTCCTAGTAATCTCGAATCACATTTCAAAAAAGTGTTAAAGCCTTCAGTAGTACGGAACACTGCTCGAATATTTCTTCTTTTTCGACAAAAAGAAAATATCGTATTTGGAGCAGATACAAAAATGCCCCTTGATCCAGTTTTTTCTTTATCAGACCTGCTCGTGGAACGAATGCCTCGCACATTTGCCAATAAGACATCAGCAGAATTGTTCAAATACATTGTAAAGCGAGTAGAACAGAACCCGGCAATTTCTTTCTTTATTTTAGTGGCTGAAGCTACTATAAAGGAAAATGCTTCAGAGTACGAACTGAAGACTGAGATCAAAGAAATCGAGGAAACATTTCTTCACGTTCAACCACAGCTCGTTCCTTTCATAGCCGAATGCTTGAGGCAGTACTATCTCCTTGGCGTTAGTAAGACTAAGAACAAGAATATAAAGGTTTTCATTCTGAAAATTCTCGAATGCCTTAGAAATTGCCAACTGAACGTCGAGGACACTCTCAAAATAATGGCAAGTATTCTGAACCTTCCTAAGCTGTTAGTTCTGGTATTCCAAAGGGCTTCAAACGATTCCAAAGCAGTAAAAGACATGTCGAGAGTATTGAACGTCGTAACCGAAGTGGATCCATTAATTTTAAATGGCCAAATTTTGTTGACTCAGCTAATTCAACATGACCTTTTTATGGTTTTGACAAAAACATCTCTTGAAGTGTCAGATGTCTGCACTGTTTTGGAATTTTACCGACATTTGAAGCCGGAAGATTTGCCAAATGTTTTGACATTATCAGGAAAATTTGACGCCAAACAAAGCAATAGCAATGCCTTATGGTTAAACGAGTATAGCAAGAACGCAGTCCTTACTCCAGGTAATCTGGTTTATTTGGTATTAGTTCAGTTGAGAAGAATACGAATGCCCAAGTCAGATGTTAGAGAAAAGGCATTAGCAATTTGCAGTCAACTTCTCATCAACTACAGCCTGGATCTCCAAGTTTCCTGTCACTGTTTACTGCAGACTACCTTCGAAGAGTACATCGAAAGTTTCTTCTTCGTTATCAATCAATTATCCAGTCTTGCTGAGATTGAACACTGGCTGACCTTCCTTCCTCACCACGCAGTGCAAAGCAAACACGTTATCCTAGCGGCTTCTTCCTGGAAAACAAGTTCTGAAAGTCGTGAAGAATTAGGCCACATGATTGATAGTGCCAGCAAAGCATTATTGAAACTTCTAGTTCCCACTTCCTCTGGAATGTTCACTCCTTTGTGTTATGCAGGCTTAACAAGGGAAATAGAAGGAATGGCGCTTGTACTATCGACAACTGAGAATGAAGAAATTGCCAACAGCCTTTTGAATCTTATTTTTACTAGCAGAGATCTGACTGAAGCTTGCCTTGGTGTAGTACGTTCATGGAGCAAGAAAGAAAGTTTAACTCTCATAGAGAAAATGAAACAAAATTACGAACAACGAAATAAAGATTCGAAGAAAGAGCAGGTTGACAGCGAAATAGCAATTCCATTGCAAATCCTTCCATTTGCTGCCAAAGCCTTTCCGAATTCAACCTTTAGAGTCGTCAAAATTTTCACAACATTAACTGAAATGGGCGGTGGTCCTGAGGATCCTCTAAGCTTAGGACGAATTCCAGTTTGGTACAAACAAATGACAGACGCTGGGTACCCCCCACAAGTCATACAGTCATGGTGCACGAGTCTTGTTCACTCACAGAATCTCTGTTCCAGTGAGGTCGATGCCATTACAAATCTGACGCCAGATACGATAAAGGTTCTTAACAAGGATTTGGATGAAGTTGGCAGATGCTTGTTTTCAACAGAAGCACCAAAGTCTTGGAAATCAGAGTGCGAAACCAAAGAAGAACATCGGTCAAACGTAGAATCGTTTAAGCGTTGCTTACTCCTCGCAAGACTTCTGAACGAAATGGCTAGTATTGCTGGGTGTCTCAAGGAAAACTCAAAAGCTGTCGAAATGGTCAAAGAGAGCACCACAGCTTTGTGTTTAGGCTTCTTGGATAACCAGCGTTCGTCAGGCAACTTGTATAAAGTTCGGTATTGTCTTTGGAAGGAATTGTTTGTCCTTCTGTTTGGCGAAGACAACGGAGCCGAGGAAGAACAACCCGAGATGCAAGAAATTATGGCTCGCGAACCTCTTGCCAGGAGTCTCATAATTCTTTTTCGTCGTTTAGCTAGATCCTTCACTGCTAGACCCACTCTTCTTGGTATTGTAAGAGGTATTATTCGTACCATTCAGAAACGTGTCATCATCCACGAGACTATACTAAGCCTTGAGTCGAACCAAGACGCCATACATACACTGCAAGCTGCTGGGTACAATCAATGTATATCACCCAGGGAAGATTTGTGGTATTCGTCATCAATCCAAATGTCGGCTTACGTAGCCTTGATCGCTTCAGATGAATCGCTTCAACTGGAACGTTCACTGAGGCAATTGTGGATTGAATGGATGGATGTCTTGTTGGAAAATAAGATCTCCGAGATCACACTTGACGAGGAAAAGGTCAAAACGACTGAACTATTCAAGCCTTCAGATTCATTGGAGACCATAGAATTGCATCTTTTATCTGTGAAACAAGCCACTAAATCCTTACCACATGACAACTGGAGTAGCTTCAGACGAAGGCAGTTATTACGGAATGAAAGACGAATGCGAAATAGCATCAAGGAACAAGAAAAGCAGGTGAGACCTTTTGAAAATCGGAAGGAGTTTTAAATTTATCCTCGTCCTCGACGGCTTGCTTTTTGATGTATCAAGGGTGGATCCAGGGGGGGCAAAGGAGGCTGAAGCCCGCCTTCAGCAGAAAAAAAACCTGAAGAATAAGATTCTTTTTTTATTGTTTTCCGTTGTGTTGACGGAAGAAACTCAATTAGCCCCCCCTAAACTCAATTAGCCCCCCTAAACTCAATTAGCCCCCCCTAAATTTTTGGCTGGATCCGCCTTTGTATATCGCCAGTGGTTAATGATAATTGAATTTGAATTTAGAAGTTCATTTTAATGTCGGAAAACCAGGAGAATTTGATGTAAAAAGTGCAGGTCATTTATTGTCAAAGTAGAGATTGAAATGTGTAAATTGAAAATAGAAAATAGAAAGACAAAATATATTATAAGTATATCAAATAAATGTATGCAGTTCTCAATTTCAAGGTACTCATGATGATATGCTCCTTTTGAGCATAAGCGTACATCTTTTTCTCCCTAGCTGTTCTGAGGTTTATAAAAAAAAACTAAAAAGAAATGATTAGTTTCTCGCTTATCATGATGCACCATTTCAAATACAGCAGTGACGCAGCTCAGCACGGGGCCGAACTGAAATATTGTGAAGGCGCCTCTGACAGCCGCTATACAGTCCATGTATGACCCCGGAGCACAGCTCTAACCAGTTTGAATTAGGGGGGAAGGTTAAAATGATCTAAACAGTTTGAAATAGGAAATATTTTTAGACTTTAATTTTTGACATTTTGCAACAGGTCAAGGAAATGACTGGAAGCAAATTGACAAAGATGGTGATAGTTTGGGAGAATCAGCTTCTTGAGTCGGTCAAGACTTGCTCAGAGAAAATACCAGGTAATACCCTTGTTTACTCAACCATAACTCTGCCTTCGTGATCTTAAAGTGCTGCTAATTATAAAGAAAGGAAAATAAAGCAAATAAACACGGGTCATTCCTCTGAAAATCATTGTCGAATCATTCCTTTGCCGCGCTTATCTAAAGGCCCGTTTACACAGGCGATTTTTTCAGCGATTTGCAGCGCGATTTCCACTTTATTCTTGCAGTGAAAATCGCGAAAAATCGCACTAAATTCAACATGTTCAAAATAGTGGCGATTCATCGGCGACGTGAATTTGTCAAATCGCCTCAAAATCGCCGGTAGTTTACACGAGCGAATTATGATCGCACGTGAATCGCCGCAAGAATCGCAGTGGAAATCGATGGTAAAATTAACCGGCCTTAACGTTTATAAGTAGATAATGTGGAATTTTTAAGAAAAGTCCACTTTCTTTGATATTTATTTTTTGAAGCCTGCTGTTATTTCATTTTTTCTAAGTGGGGGGGGGAGGGGTGAAATTTTACTAAGCCATAGCCTGGCATTTCAAATCTTCTTACCTCATTAAGGTTGCTATGCACAAGATGGGTTTCATTCCGAGAAGCCCGTCATTTGTGGTATTGCTGTGGATAACAGAATCCTAACTCTGTACAAAGAAGGCCACGGTGATACCCGTACTGAAGTAGAAAACGTTGAAGTAAAGCTCTATCCAGCTGGAATGGTGGTGTTTGGTGCGTACCGCAGCATTCATCCGTACGACACAGAGCAGATGTGGGCAGCGTTTTACAAGATGCTTCTGGACAAACGCTTGGTGCCCAAGATATTCATAACTAATGTCAGCCCTGCATTTGATTGGATAAAACAGTTTGTTGCACCAGGTAGGGTCCGTTTATAATGATGTTAGTATTAGGATATATCTGCCTATTGATAACTCCTTTTCATGCTTCTATAGTTCAAACAACTTCAGAGACGACACTTTTTCAGTCTCTGTTCTTCAAACTTCAAACTTACAACTGTCTAAGTTAATATTAGTATGTCAGATATTGAAACCAGGGCCCGCTTGTACGAAGCCTGGATAGCGCTATCCAACAGATAAATCTTATCAAGTGGATAAAAATACTGGATAACAGCATCGACTTGTCCACTGGATAAGGGTTTATCCGCCGGATAGCACTATCCACCCTTCTTACAACCGGGCTCAGTGCTCTGAAAGCAAGGGTGTACACGAAAAGCGCAACTATCATGCACAAAGGGCATAGGACATTTTTCACCAGAATCTGCCATGATGTTCAGTTTCATTAGTATAGTACAGGCTAATAGTGCAACGGACCCAAAAGTTAAATTTTCGTGGAGGGAGGAAAACCCCTGAAACACAGGAGAAGAGCCATCTACTTAAACCAACTAACGATTCTACTTACATGTAATAGCGGGTCATAAGGAAGAAGCCCACGGCCACAGCCGCCAAAGGCAACGCATTATAGAAGTGCAACTTGCGATTCACTCAACAATTTAATGTTATGGGATATGGGATATGGTGTTGCGCCTCGTAGGGGACAATTGTTCTTTTGTGTAGTACCTGCCTTATGGGAAATTATATAAATAAATATCATTTCCTGATAAACTGTTTTAAGCCAATACTTTTAATTTACTTCTCACGTTGCAGAATCAACTCAACTTCGAAATGCTACATTTCAAAGCTGTTGTAACCTAATCCCCTCACCGGAGGACAGCTTTGATTATAATCCCGAGATACTTTTCCATTTACGTTGCACGACGCTAGAAAACTCTCACAGGAAAGAACTAATCATCCTGACACCAGATAAAACGCAACAACTAAAATTTGCTGACCTTAAGGTATGATTCATATTTACAACGCTTATTTTATCTTTTTGTGCACCAGATCGACTCAAACATACAGCGGTTTAAGTTATTAACGCCTTCACTTGGTCGATCGAATTCCTTCACCAACGACTGAGAAAAAGTGGCAGAAAAGAAGAGAAAAGCTTTTTAAAGTGAATGAAAAGCTGATTTAGAGGCGCCTATGAATTATGCTCCGATAGATTACAAACGTAGAGAGGCTACGATGGATCAGTTTTCCTTTAGCTACTCACAACTTGCGCATTCCTGCAAGCCGACATGAGTGCGTATGTTATCGTCCCCTCCTTCCATTAGAGCTCCGTTTCAAGGGCATTTCGATTAAGAGAAATCGCAGTAACAAGTGTGTTCGAGGTGACTGTGAGATTGAACTACTGATTCCCTGCTTTTCTGGCAGCGCACTGGCTATCTTATCCACTCTTTTATATAAGACTAGTGAACATACCGTTATACATAAGGTTTATAAATATTGCAATAAACGGAAGGTATCCACTATATAGCTTCTTCCGCAGGGGTCTTTCTGTTCTCTTCTCTATTTCTCGTGCTGGGCTTGCATGCATGCTGTGTTAGTGAGCGTCGACCGCGTTTTCACCTCAGGTTACCCATCCCTTTCAAATAGCAGAAACACGCAACAAAAAACCTAGCGAGTAGCCTGCGGAGGACGCTAACCACTATAAAGTAATGCAAATTTTAATGGCAAGTGAATTTACAATAATGCTATTTTCTACGAAACATTTTGTCTTCCTTAGCCACCAAACAAAAACAAATTGATACGTGACGAGATCCACAAAGTTGTGCTTCATCTACAAGATGATGGTGGACTTAAAGAGATGCATCCAAAGTCACATGACAAGATTCTTGACAGATTGAAGTTTGCCATCAGACAAGCGGTGGAGATTGCAGTCGATGGAGGTAAACCAACACAGGAATCAATATCAGAAAGCATCGACATGAAAAGGCTTCTGCATCGTTGTGAGGATGGCCATCAGTACAGCAAGGATGATTACTCTTCTGTTATCTTGGACGCTGTAAACACAGTTACGGAGGATTTGCAAGGCACCAACACGTCTTACGATGGATGTCAACATGTTGTGTTTTTACAGCAAATGCAATAACGAAGAGCAAAGACATTCGGTATCTAGAACGAAACGGCTGATAAGAATGCTCTCTGTACTGAGGAAAAAAGACTAAGCAAAACCTAAAATTACCAACGGAAGTTGTTGTTGTTTTTAACACAAAAAAAGAAACTATGCTGAGAAACCTGACAATTTTTAGCCAAAGACGCATGAATTGGTTGGAAAATAGTAGTAATATAAAACATCAACCATTAAATATATATTCGCCGACTCACCCCTCCCCCCATAATAATTTGTAATACCCGTAGATTTCCGAGAAATAGAGGTTTTGCACCATCACATGTCGGCGCCTGTGGTTAGATGGCAGAACAATAAAATCACGTCAAACGATTGTATTTTTCCTGCCATCTAACATGGCTGCCGTCACGCGATGGTGTAAAACGTTTATAGTATAGCTAGAATCCCGTGTTCTGATTGGTTCTGTTCAGTCAAGCTAGACTTGCTTATTCAGCACTTATGTCATCTTAGTCTTCAGACTTTTTCGAGGATTGGAGTAAACCAAGGTAAGAATGTATACGTCTAGAATTATGTTATTCGTGTAGCTCAAGTGAAAATTCACGGACCTTATATGATGAGAATCAAAAGCAAGCACTGAATTTCTAATTCAGTTAGTTGAAATGTATTACGATTATTCCTTCGCAAATCGATCCAAATCGATGTTCGTTTTGCGATTTTTCAACCGCCTTCTACATATTTACACACTTCCCAAAAGCGTTTATACGAACAGAAAAAAATAGTCTAGACAAATCTTAGGTTTCTTTTAGGTAATGTAAAACATAACCATAGCCATAAATACGACAAACTTGCGTAATATGGATATTATGTAGCCAGAATAAGAAGACCTAGAAACTGCAAATTATACTATATTAGGATTGTCTTTACTTTATTTTACCTGATACAAATACTAGCTAGAACTTAATGAATGTAGGTCCATTATAGAAGTAAGAAGTATATAATACTATGATTTATTTTACATGTAATATCTTTTTGGTTTTTGGACATACGATTATTACCGGTAAATGATACAAAGCGCGGTAGCTTTCGCTTTTGTTCTTCGGGGAATTTTCCCTACTTAGTCACGCAACTTGAGTTTGTTTCAGTCTTTTATATATCATAAATATATAAGGAGCATACGATGGTCTGAATGATATTTTCACCAATATAAAAAGGAAATCAATATTTCTTAGTTTTTGGATATACACCTACTTGCAACAACGTTGTCATACGATATTAGAACAGGGGCGGCGGAAGCGGGGGGGCCGGGGGGGCACTGGCCCCCCCCCCACTAGATTTTTTGGGGGGGCCTGGCCCCCCCAGAATATAATGCCTCACACAAAAAAAACGCATGAGATTTGGTTATGATTACCATTATTTATTATTTTGATATTACATAATTTTCTGTATCTAAAAAAGATACGATATATCTAGCGACGACTTGCATCATTTTTGTGTCTCTCAGCACAATTGCAAGTGGTTTAATTTGCGCAAAATGTTACTGATTGAAATATCACACATACACGTTTGTAATCAAGCTAAACAGGGAGGG